ACACAGAAAAGCATGCGTTCATTTGCAGTACCTTGAACTCTCGAAATGAACTCCTTGAATGATCTTTTTCTTCAACCTGATTTTTTTTAAATGACAATTTTATCTTTAGCACTTTCATCTTTTCATCAATTTTTTTTTTCCCCCGAAGAATTTCTTTGTCTTTGTAAAGCAATATGGATTCGCCCATTGTATGAATGGTGCGGTACAAATCAACTTGCCTTGCCTTCAGGTCACTTGGTGATGGACCTGAACCGCATGATACGTCCCGCCAAGTCGCCGGAAAAGTGCGACCTTCGTCTGCTGGAGCAGCCGGCCGAGCCGCGCTCGTCTCTCTTTGAGCAGAAGACCGTCAAGGGGTGGTGGCCCTGTGTCCGCGACCAAGACGGACAGAAACTCCTCGCTGTGAGCCAATGACCACGCAAACTGCACCCAGCCTCATACATAGCAAATATTGTATCGATTCAGCGATATTATCATCACAATACTGAATTTGCATGTTTGACAGGTCGATGTATATTTCATATCTTTTGGCCCGGCTTGCTCGTGCCATGTTGTGACATGTTTGTGACGTGTGGTGGCGCTGCAGGGGAAGGTAGAGATGTCTCTGGAGATCGTGACGGAGCAAGAAGACGAGGAGAGACCAGCCGGGCTCGGCCGAGACGAGCCCAACGTGAACCCTCACCTGGAAGAACCTCGGTGAGCGCAAACAGAAAAAAAAAAACTGGGTTTAACAAAAAAAAAAAAAAGTCATGAAATGAGGACTGTTTTCATTTATATGAAATGATTTGCCCGCGGTCCGCTCAGGCGTCCCGAGACCTCCTTCCTGTGGTTCTCGTCCCCCTTCAAGACGATGCGGTTCATCCTGTGGAGGCGCTTCAAGTGGTTCATCGTCCTCTTCCTCGTTCTATTCCTCATCCTCCTCTTCCTTGGTGTCTTCCTCTACTCCTTCCCGGCAAGTTTACGACTGTTTTCCCGAATCAGTCACTCATTCCGCACTCACTATTTTAGGATTTTTAGATCATAGGTAGTTCACTCAAATGTCGACTCATAATCCCTAAATAGTGATTCGGGAGTAGGCAATGAATGAATGAAACGCAGGGAATGGTTTTCGGAATCATTCAGTCCTTGCCTTCTTGCGAATTACTTTACAGGGATTCTGATATTGCGGACTATTTACAGTGGACCAGGCTGGCCCACAACCGGTAATAACAAAATTAAACGGAACGTGAAGAACTAAAAGATGAATTCATCGCAACTCTTTCTGATGTGCACAACTTGACCACTGGCGGCAGTATAGTAGCCATGCAGACAAACGAAGAAGAGTTTAAGTCAACAAGTATTAAATGATCAGTAATGTGTGCTATTGCCCTATTTTATAGTACATTTTTGGTACACCAAATTATTAGTCTTTGTCGATTTTTGAAAAAAAATTCAAGGACTTTAAGTGTGCCATACGGTCAGAAAAATAGTGGTTTTTTTTCCGAGGATAAAGAATATATGCCAGTTAATATAATGTTATGTTATGAAACTGTTGGAAAATGTAATTGGAAATTATTCCACCCCTACTCACTAAATATTCAAACAGAATGACAAAATGGCAGCATACTTTCTAAGGTATGCGTGGGAGTGATTCCAAACCGCCTGTTGGTCGTCAAATTGTCTCTTTGTCTCTTGTGTCCTGATCCGCAGAACTACGCTGCCATGCGGATGGTGGGCCCGTTTGGACCGGGCCGGGTAGCCGAGTGACCCCGACGAGAATTCTCCCATCAGAAGCGCGGGTCGCAACTCGCGCTCGCCTCGTCTGCATCACGCTCGCCTCCCTCGTGGCATCTCTCATCTCTCTTTCCGTTTCATGCGCTCCTCTCATGTGCGCTCACGCAGAGAGGCAAGCCAGCAGAGGCTGAACGGCTGCCACGGAATCGGAGATGGATTCTGATGTTGCGAGCGCCTGCTGCGACGCCTCCGACTCGTTTCGCTGCGGCGAGGAGAAAAAGTTCCAAACAGGCTCGTTATTCTCTTTGAACGCCAGTCGTGAGCGCGGCGGCGTTCGTGCGGAATTGTCAGATCTTCGTTTCCTCTTCCTCTTCCCCTCACATGCTTCTTTTTCTCTTCTTCGTCGCTCCCGTCATCAGCAGCAGCAGCAAAGGCAAAGGTGGATCAAGCCACTGATGGAAAAGTTAGTCTGTGAACTCAACCCGAGTGGAAAAGTTGACTTAGTCGGCCCGCCGGCAATGAGAGAGCGAGCCATGTAAACAAAAGTCCCATTGAGTGCTCAAACATTGGAAAGAGTTTTGGTCCCGCATCCATGTCCAAACCCGGTGCCGCTTGTTGGTTCTGCCCTCTCGCTGCTTCCTCTTCCTTTCCCGCGCTTCCGTTTCACCGTACTCAGCTGCTTCATTTATGCAAACTTATCTCACGTGCCTTGAGGCTGCCTGAAGCTACATGAAACACACTGCTCACGTAAAAAATTGCGGTTATTGGGTTGTAATCTTTACACATACAATTAATTTGACCTTCTGTAAACTTTTGAATGTGCTTGTTGAACTGTCAAAATGTCTTGTCAAAGTTGACACAGTAGAGACTGGTGTTGTTAAGAACCCTGCTAAATTTGAATAATTATAAAAAAATCGCAAAGTACGGTTGCTGAAATGTATACTACCAGGTCATCGCGTAGCTTTTGCACGACATGACAACGAGGCGTTCTAAAGCTGCAACAGCAGCCCGAAGCCTCAGTCCACATGCTGGCTGTCAAAATTGACCCCCTTCTCGCTCTTCCAACGCTTTCTGCGTGATGTGTGTTCACTCATGGCCGACAACGAGGCACTCTAAACTCGCCACCCCAGCACACTGAATGCTCTCTCCGAATTCACCAAACAGTGTCTTTAATGACTTATTCTGGTTGAACCAGGAAATGTATTGGTCTGTGTTTGGGTCAAACACCTGTTGTGAATTTTGCCATTCAATAAGTTGTGCAAAAAGTAGTGAAACATTAAACAGTTGGACGTGCATTCAAAAGTGCAGACGGCCAGATGAAGTTCATTTACATCACATTAAACAGTTGGACGTGCATTCAAAAGTGCAGAGATGGCCAGATGAAGTTCATCTACATTGATTATCGTGAATTGTTTGTCCGCAGCCCAATAGCCCGAACATTTTGTGCATTGTCTGCCTCCATGGCAACATGGAGGGACACGCCCTCAATGTTTTTGTTTTAGCTCTATTATCAATAAAGGTTGACTTGACAGCACTGGCTCCTGTTCTGACCTGACCTAGTTGTGAACTCCCCGACAAACTCTCGGGAGTGATTTGTGTCCGGGGCTCCCAGCGCTCCAAATGAGCCTTCCCGCCTCGCCTTTCCTCTCCATGCCTGGCGCTACCGCATCCGGCCTCATCCTCGGCCGCTCGCCTCGTCCTTGTCTCGTCTTGGGTTTCGCCCTCGTCCTCGGGGCGTTGTTATGGTCATCGTGAACTGCAGGTGAACCGCCGACCGCAGTTTGCGTGCGTGTGTGTTGCGCGGTGTGGGTGGCCTGCGGTGGGGATCTGTCTTCGCTCCTCCGGCTCCCATTTTTGTCGACCTTCACCCGCTTCCTCCTCCTTCTCCCCGATGTCGCCTCTCCTCCTCGTCCTCCTCGTTTTGTCTTCTCACCTAAGAACTTGCATGTTTTCAATTCCTTTTCCACTGCCCGCCAAAGTTTTTGCCCCATCTGTGAAAGGTACCCACATAGTATTTGAAGTAGAGCTGTGTTTCGCTTTTCGGGGCCTCGCTCATTTTTATGTTGAACGTTATCTACTTGTCTGTTACGGCCTCATCCTCGGCCGCTCGCCTCGTCCTTGTCTCGTCTTGGGTTTCGCCCTCGTCCTCGGGGCGTTGTTATGGTCATCGTGAACTGCAGGTGAACCGCCGACCGCAGTTTGCGTGCGTGTGTGTTGCGCGGTGTGGGTGGCCTGCGGTGGGGATCTGTCTTCGCTCCTCCGGCTCCCATTTTTGTCGACCTTCACCCGCTTCCTCCTCCTTCTCCCCGATGTCGCCTCTCCTCCTCGTCCTCCTCGTTTTGTCTTCTCACCTAAGAACTTGCATGTTTTCAATTCCTTTTCCACTGCCCGCCAAAGTTTTTGCCCCATCTGTGAAAGGTACCCACATGGTATTTGAAGCTGAGCCGTGTTTCGCTTTTCAGGGCCTCGCTCATTTTTATTTTGAACGTTATCTACTTGTCTGTTCCACAAATTTGCCTTCAAAGCGATTTTGCCTTAAGCTTTTAACAAAACGGCCTTATTCAATTATATCCAACTTTACTATTTTCTCTTAAAAAAAAAAAAAAAAAATCTTGAGGCGACATATTATCATGCAGCTCCTTGGTAGGGAGATTGAGGTTCAACTAACAGTTCAAGTATACAAGAGAGTTAATAGATTTGTTCCTAATCGATTTTTCGCTTTAAATTGGTTAATAATGCATCAAGACCAATGGTATCGATTTATGAAAAAAAAAGAGAGATCGCGATGTCCCGTATTCTTGGATAGTACACTTTGTTTTGTTTTAAGCATGAAGATGGCCACCGAGTTTGTTAAACTCTTTTTAAAACGTTTTTTATTTTTTAATCTCTCGCTTTGCAAATTTCCCCCTGTTGTAGGTATGTTGGGAACATACCCCCCCATGATCATTAGTCATGGCTCTGATTAAAAAAAATAATAGTGTTGGTGTCCCTCTGGGTTGCGTTTTAGGAACCTTAAACATCCAAATCATCCGCCCATTATCAGCATTTTTTTCCTCTCATGTGAATCCCATTCACACAAATCCACAACAGAGGGGTCAGTCTCGACCAGATGTGGTGGAAAATAGCTCCGGGTGAGCGCGTTGTTTGGTTCTCACCTCAAACACGTGAGGAGGCCGGCAACATCAAACGTTTGCAGCTCGTAAAAACGCGAGGTAGCGATGTCAGCATCGTGTAACGCATGATGACATCAGCCAGAAAACACGATGAGACATCAAGCAGATGTGTTCCAGGGAAGTTAAACATCTTTACGTGCATCATTAGCAGTGGTAGTACTCACACTCTACTAAAGGAGAAGTACATATAGTTGTGTGAAAAAAAAAACTTTCAACTTAGTACTGATTCAACTCCTTAACTAAAAGTATAGATATCTGTTGTCAAATGCAGGGAGTAAAAGTAAAAAGTAGTGACAAAAAATAAATTCAGCAAGTACAGACACCTGAAGATCCGCTGAAGTATTTGTAGTTGGTTACTTCCCACCGTTAGCAAACGGCTGCTTGCAAGTGTGACATTGCAGCGCCCGGTTCACAACTTGTGCGATGAGCGTGTGTTATTTGTTTCCTGTTGTCCAACATTTTCCACTCCATGTTCCTCTCATTAGTCCTCGTGTTAACTGGCGGGCAAGAATGCTCGCTGGGAAAAAGCTGTATAATTTAACAAGATTGTTAATCATGGGATTGTTGCGGCGTGAAGTCAGAGCGTGGCCTGGGCCCGCCGCCGCCTCGCCTCGCTCACCTCTTCCTCTGGGTCATCCCGAACCATAGACTTCAAGAAGGCCCGCTAAATAAAGAACACAGGAGTGACGCCACTGGCTCCATCCTGCAACCTCCCCGAACACCATCTCTAAAAAGATGGCACAATCCTGGAAATTTCCCATGTCCTGACCTTCGCCCCTCTGACGCCGGTTTATGGAACAATCGTGCTCACTCACTCACACACACACACACACACACACACACACACACACACACACACACATATGCCTTGAACCAGAGTCTTGAACATACACGCACAGCCGCACTACTCTATTGTTTTGTGAGTATGTACTGTCTGAGACATTAACAATTCCAAATTAGTATCAGTAATTATACTGATCAATAAACTAAATTAAGACTGTTATGCTTTTCATCCACATGGAGATTAAAGCTGAATGTATTTATGGTCGAGGGGAAGGGGGTGTGTGGAATCCTGATAGGATGTTTGCGTATGTCGGTCATTGTGTGTTCACACTTGCACAATCTCCCCGCGTTGTAAACTTTGTTTCATGCTGTGATGATTGCGCCATAAATGTGAGTCGTTAAAGACTCATCGTTGTTTGTCACGTACGTTTTCTTGGTTTGAGAGTTCTCCCTTCACCTACACTTCTTTCTCCCCACCAGCCCCTTTCCCCGCAAAGCTTATCCAGAGCTCCTCCGCGAGGAGGCGCAAGCTTGCCTTCGTCGCGTTGTTGTCGTTGGTCATGTGACCAGAAGAAGAAAGCACATATTTTTTTTACACTTTCCCACAGGTAAGCAAACATTCTGAAATTCTGATTTTGTTTACGGATGGCTCTAAATATTCAAAATCCAAGCGCGTGTCGGCAGTAATTTACATTCCAGAATATCAAGTATACATTAAGAAAAAAATCCCGGATTATTTTTTAGTAGGCCTGTAATGTGGTTGCAATTTGTATGAATACTGGGTCCGGGAACATAATCTAGAATTCTAGATAATACATTGACTGCATCTCAGCGCTCACAAGTATTCGAACCGTTGAGTAAAATTAAGAATAGAAGATTGAGAGTGGTTTTTATTTGAGTTCCGGCACATGTAGGGGTGTTAGGAATGCATTTAAAATAAAGTCAAACCACACAAAAAATTGCGTTAGACAATTTCACCACTTAGCCGGGGTTTTGAGCTTTCATTACGTCATATATGACACTTTGTTTTGGAATGACTTTTTAAAATGTGAAAAACAAGAACAAGACGTAGTTCGGTTGTTTGTTGGTAACTTACTGTTCGTTTGGTTTGATTATTGTAACTTTGATGTGGTAAATGTAAAAGTAAACTGATCATAATTTTTGATTGTCGGTTATGGACGACATACATAAAAATGCTAAATTAGATAATGATAACAACTGAAATAATGAAATGACTTTTTAAAGATCATTTTCCCCCCTTAGTCAGACCATATGTGTGTTTTTACATGGTGAATAAATTGAAAATAGTTTTGGAACACTATTTTGGGATGCCATTACGTTAATTACATAATTACCCAATTGCTGTCGCATGATCCTAACATACCAGATCAACGTCAGCTGCTGGACCTTCTGTCAGAAATACTCACCAAATGCATTCTGATGACAGTGTTTTAAGATGAGTGTAGTGCACAAAATGAGTACAAGACAAACAAGCACATGATGTTCTTCTGCGTTGTGACATATTGGCTACTTAGAGTCAAGATATTTAAAGGGTCACGACATTCTGATGATCATTGGTTGGTTTGGCGGTTTGTTGCATGTGTATTACGTGAGGCCGGACAGGGTGGCATTGCTTTGGAGGCAGTAGGGTGCCTCATAATAAAAAAAAAAAAAAAAACTAAAAATGGGATGGTGGTGTCTCGCACTGGGTGCCATTTAAACTCGGACTGACACTGATGCATTGTGGGGTACTGTACATTGAGGGCTCTATATTGGGGATAACCCATACTCACTAAACATTCCAACAGCACTACTAAATGGCAAACTCACTATGTCGGGCACTATACATATAGATGTATATATCTTGGATGGGGAGTTATTCCCAACACAGCCTAAATGTTTGGAGCCATAACGGCGCCTCAAAGGGTTGGGAAGGCCGCCAGCGCCATGATGCCATTTCCTGTTCGCTGCACTTTTCTTTTAATTTGCTCGTCTGCATTTTTTTTTTTTTTTTTTTATAACTGACTTTACTGTGTGTGCGTGTGTGTGTGTGTGTGTGTACGCACATGTGTGTGCGTAGGCGCAGCAGCTGTAAAGACTACAAGGACCATTGTGGCTCCGACGCGCCCCCACTGCGAGTGTCAAGACCCCTGCACACACGACCACACGTTGAATTGATGTAAGGTTTAATAGTAAACCGTGTGTGTGTGTGTGTGTGTGTGTGTGTGTGTGTGAGTGGGTATTCCAAGGTGACCACACACACCCACACACACACACACACACACACGCTCACACATACACAGATGTTTGAAGTTGCAGACAGGCCGCTCACTGGTCTTTGGCAGTAGTCCAGGAGCCAATCAGAGTCCTCAGCCAATTAGAGGAGGCAGGTTGACTCACTTGATCGTAACAAACCGATCTTAATGTTCTTGAACAAACCTAAACTGTTTGTTTAAAATACAGTGAAGACCTCGTCCCGGTCACTCTGCAAATTTCCGTTGGAGCCCGGCGTTGTCCGACTTCACAACAAACCTCAGCGTAATGAAAGATTCCTGTGAAGGTCTGACAGTGGAGGATTTGACTATTACGTATTTTTGATACATTTTATCCTTTTCCTGTTCAAAAAGTATTAATTGTCGCCAACACAATGAACAAAGATCTTTCTTTCCGACGGAGCTGATGATTCACTGACGTGTCAAACTGTATAGCGCCACTTAGTGCCGAAGAGGATTTACTCAATGTCAGATTTTCTTTTGTATCGGTGGCTGGTATCCGCAGCCTGCAACGGTACCCAATACCATAAAAATAAGGCCGGTATCGGCCCGATACAAATACCTGGTACTCACCCATCCCTCCTTACACAACTAAACTATACTTTACATCTGATCATTCATCACGGCATGCAAATAGTCTGAATATATAATTCAGTGATCCTTTTACCGACCACTAGAGGGAGCTTGTATACCACGAGTAGTGGTACTATTACGACACCGTCACTGGTTTATGCAATGAATACAGGCAAATAGAAATGTCTCCCCCAATTTCTAGCCGTTTGAAATGCGTTTGTTCCCTAACCATGAGCAACGTTGGGCGTAGACGTCCTGTTTGTTGTCTTCCTTTTTGGGCCACTAGCACCGACGTCCAGGTGAAAGGACTCTTCCAGACCACGTCAAGAGGAGGGGGTGGCGCTTTTGTTAGACTTTCAAGAGCGGGCCCAGTTAATTTTTTACAGGCCGCCAACAATATGGCCTTTCTTCCTGCGGGGAATGGGAGCCATATGGAGGCGCCGTTACTGTACCTGCGCCCTCGCACAGACGCCACATTGTACTGTACAATGGCGACGGAGAACACGATGGCGCAGGAAGTGTCGTTCTTGTGTGTGTGTGTGTGTGTGTGTGTGTGTGTGTGTGTGTGTGTGTGTGCGTGTGTGTGTGTGTGTGTGTGTGTGTGTGTGTGTGTGCGCGCGCAGCTTGACACCCTTTTTAAGGTGATTTGTTCATCTTGTCGGCCTGACGTGAAATGTGCACGCAGGCGTCCCGCCGGCTTGGAACCTGATGATGAAAGCGCGGGAGCGGGGGGGTGGGACATGACGTGCCCAACTTCTGATAATAAGGTGCTACTTTATGGCTGCGGCAAGGGTCAAAGGTGCCGAGAGAGGGATTTAGTGACTCGCTAATGCTCAACTAATCAATATTTTTTATTGGCGTCATAAATCAAAAGGCGTCACGTAAAAGGGGGTGTACGTTCATGACGCATCGCTGGATTGAAATCTATTTGTTTTGCTGCTCAAGTCCAAATATGACATCATCTCTTTATGACTCCAAAAGTCCCGCCCGCCGGCCGCCATGGCAACTAAGTGCTGTCACCGTATGATGGATGGACACTGTAGAGAGACGCGCCGAGGGCGGGGACACTTTTGGGCGCGCCGAGCTCACTCCTCAGAGGTCAAAACGCAGCGGTGACATCAGCGGCATGTCGGCGAGGGTTAATGGGCGACAACAGAGCAAGTGGCGTTTGTTGTCGCGTGACTTTGGGACATGGTCGAGGCCCGAGTGCATGTTAGGATTCGCAAATTTCCTTGATGGCGGATTTTGGGTGGAGGAAACGACCATTTGTATTTCCATCACTCACCTATTCGCTGTTTTTGCGCTGTGGCCATGATAAATAAAGTCTTCTGTAAAACATGCAGCAAAAAAGGTTTCAGGTGAATGTCAAACCTCCAAACGTGATGACATCATGTCATGTCCGCTATCTTCCCCATCTTTGGTTTCCCTCGTGCGGACGCTTCGCTCGCGTCGGAAAGGAGAGGCGCGGCCTGTTGTGTCTTCCTTGCACATGTGGAAATATGTTTGTGATTAACGTGGTCATCATTCATGGTCGCATGCTGCTGGTGTTTTGTGTCCACACGCACGCACACGCACACACACACACACACACACACACACGCACGCACACACTAAAGAGTCATGACAGAAGAAGTCTAATTCTTCTGTACTCACCGCAAACGGCAATTTAGCGTGTGTGAGTTCCTTGCTCTCACAATGCTGACTTTTATTGCCGATTGTTTTTCAGTTTGTAAACCTTTCCCACACTGTCAGCCATTTCCCAGCGTGTCGCGCCGAAATTTGGCAACCGGCGGACGGCGGTCCGAATGACCTCGCGACGAAGGACGCGCGAGCGTCTGGCGGGCGCTGCCGCCCGAGCGCTCACGTTCGTCTCCGGCATGCGAGCGTCACGCTTGATGATTGAGTCCATTTGTTGTCCGCGGCGGCGCAGGAAGGCGCTCCTTGGCCCCGCGGCCTTGGACGCGCACGAAGGAGGAGGAGAGGGAGGAATGTGCGAGGAAATGAGAAAAGAACTCGGAGATGAAAGTCGCGAGAACAAACATGTTGGTCGAAATGATTTTGGACAGGCCGCCTGTTCGTCCTCCCGCCTGGATTAAGACAAAGAGTTCACCATCCAAATCACTTCATCACTCTGAGCTTCAACGGCAGCTTGGAAA